ATAGGCCTAATTGGGGCCATAAGTCGAGAACTTAGTTTCCTTTGCAAAGAAAAAGGTAGGCCTTGCTGTGACTTGAAAGCAGTATGTTGGTTCGGCCTAGGCCTAAAGTTAGTGAGCCCGGAAGAGAGGCGGGGGAGGGGGAAAGGTTGAAGAAAGGGAAATCCATTGAAAATTGGTGCGCACATTACTACATTAACTCATGAACACTCGAGTGACGGTCCATACCTCCCAATGTACTCTACTACCCTTCCAAGTGATTTTGGTTGATTATTTGATATGGGCGTTGTGATCCAAGAATGACCTACACGAGAGAATCATACCATGATTACTGTCGGCAAAATTTCTTTCTACGCCGTATTAACTATTGACTGGGCGATTTGAAACGCCTCTCAGAAGGATAACACAGACAAGCGCGAAGGTGCTAGGGTATAGCGTAAGCACCCCGGTTTCTGACCGGTCTCTAGTTGTTGGCCGGTGAGGCTAAAAGATTAACATATTTAGTTAATCTTGCCGTTTTCAAGCAGTCTATCAACATCTTCCCGCTTTCATATTCCCTATGAGAGCCCCTACGAACGCGATCTTTCCCTATCCGAAAGGAGTATTAGAACGTGGAATGTATTTGTGGGATCAATCCTTCCTTTCCTCATCCTGAGGACGTAATGAGGAAACGAAGGACTGAAATCACAAGCACTGCGTAGAACAATCAGAAGTTCATCTTATGAAATGTACAATAATTGGTACGTTCAGGGACAGTCAACCTCTGTACTGTTCTATGCCTCCTGCTTATGCACGGGAGAGACTTGTGCATGGGCAAGGGGTTATACTGGTACAGGCCGTACTAGTACTCCATAGTGAAACGCCTTTACCATTGGAATGCCTGTACTGGAAAAAAAAATTACGGATAACATTAACACCAATACTGGCCCGATGTTTTTCCGTGTAGTAATGCCAACAATGGTACAAGATGGGTGCCAATACAGAGCCAAGATGGATACATCTTGGCGGAGCTTGGGGATATAAAAATATATTGACCCAATATTGGGGTGCTACTGGGGGACACATCGTTTCGTTCGTAATGTCGAAATCTAAATGAAACCATGCACTGGTCCAATTATAATGCCACACTAGCTGTACTGTATATTGATTGAAGTTACAGGGTTGCTACCTATGATGGGACATAAGAAGAAAAATAAAGAAGAAAATAAATCCCAATCGGATGCTCATAACGACATTCGATAAAACCTTCATTCAATGAAAAGGAAGTAATTGAGTGTTCGATGTAGGGAAACTCAGCTCGAATAGAGCTCAGAATGCATGAGAAGATATGGATCCATGACGATGGCATCCTATGTACATCCAAAGGACGACCACCCCCGGACTTATACCCATCTCTGGACAACTGGACTGTCAATGGACGAGTTTTGGATCACCCATGGCGAGGGTAGGCTATTTACCCTATTAAACAACCTACCACGGGTGCAAGTTTTCAGGCACGGTGGCTCTCAATGAAGTAGTTTGTAAACATCCTAGGAGTAAAATAAGAAAACTTCGACTTTTCTTATTTTGTTTCGAGTTTTTGATAAGCGAAACAAAGTAACATGGGAACATTGGAGACGTCCGATATTTTTTTTGGCTGAAGTTGAAATTGTGCACTATAATATGAAGTCTTGATTTTTTGCATACTTCACTCACCTTTGGTTTTGCAGTGTCATAATTATAGACGGTCCTGATGGAGCAAAATGGGGCGATATAGCGGCTCCATATATCTCTTCACCTCTGGCTGGAATATCCATTACAATCGTGAGGATCAGCCTGACGCATTGTGCTACTGTTCAGATGCCTCCTTTTGCTGAAAACCCAGTTTAGGTTGGGTTACCGGGATTCAGCTCATGACAACTGTGCAGGCATCGATGACGACACGGATGAGGACGAGTTTTTATGTGACTTCTGTAAATTTGCATCTATAATGAATGCATGGATAACAATTTGAAACAGGAACTATTGTTTTGCCGTAAAAGTTCCATTGTTCTTTCCGTTCTGTGGCCTTAGGAATTTGGCATTTAATGAAAATGTGGGAAAACATGCGAAAGAAACACGATTTATTTGTAGAAGTTTCATTGCTGTTTCTGTTCTTTGACCCTTGTAAGTAAGAATGAAGAACTGGGGAAAAGAGAAAGCATCTGTTTTTTATTTATTTTGTGGATGTTTCGTTGCGGTCACTGTTCTATGAACTTTGCATAAAGGATAAGGGCATAAAATATGAGGGCATACAATGAAGACGCGAGAAACATGTGTAAAATCATTAGTTTGATATTTGCAGATATTTCATTGATGTTTCTGCTCTGTGACCTATCTAAGAAGGAACATAAAATCAATAAAAACTTTTAAAGACAATATTTGGAGGCATACCCCGTTTTGCCTCGCAGAGACACCCCATTCTGTCCCAAGGGTGGGGCAATACGGAGTATTTGACTCCAACTTTTGGAATTGTTGGGGGGAAAAACCGGCTCCGATTTCGCGATGATGTTGGATCCTAATCGTAGGTTAGATATGAAAGGTACCGCATACCAATCCGCAACGTGCTACACCAATTCCTTGGTACTAAATTTTGGTAATTTTCCTGAACCGCCCCGTTTTGCCCCACCTTCCCCTATGTATTGTATATCCCCAATACTAACTTAGCGCCGCTTCTTTGCTACAGTAGCTGTCGTAGTTCGTCTAGTTTTAGTCGCAAAGTGACGGAAAAAAGGTCCTTAACTTTCCCAGGTTTCAAGCTTTCCATCGATACCGGATTCGCTCGGATGTGAAGAGCGGGAGAGGAGGAGTTCCCGGACAAATAGATACACAATCGGGAAACGGGAAAAAAAAACTTTACCACCAGCCTCCAAGGTCTTCGTATTCATTGCAACGATACGATACAGGTGCAGCATAGAATGCTCACCGGGGCATACTTTTCCATATAACCCACATGGACGTTGAGGCACTTTTCCCACCGTGGTATACGATTTTCAATGACGGTTGCGTAGAATTCCATGTCTTGGGTAGACGACCATTTTTGCCCCTCTTTAACCACCACAGCATCCGGCCGGTCGACGGACGTCGGGGTAGCCAGTGGTTTCCCTCGGGGATCGGTCCTGGGACAGCATCTGTGTTTGGTATGATTTCACGATTTAGATCACCGTGTAGAAGGCAAAATTGGTCAATTTACCGACGACACCAAAGTAGATTCTGTTGTAAGCTGGAGGCGGATAGTGCAAGAGTCGAGCGAGATTTGAGAATTTTGGAGGAATGAAGCAAGAAATGGCTCATGAGGTTTAATATTTTTAAGCGTAAAATTCTCTACGTCGGTCAAAATAATAACAAGTCCCTGGATGCGTTTGGCGTTAAACTTGGGGAGGCAAGCGGAGAGAGAGATTTAGAGAGAGTTTTTTTTCCATCAACGAAGACTTTCAGTTTTCCTCGAACGCGCAAGTGACGGTGGCCAAATGTATCAGGATTATAGGATTCATTCGACGTCCCGCTGCAGCAGAAACTCGCGCGTTCTTCTGTTGTATGAGGCACTGGTACGACCCCAGTTTGAATATTCCGTTCGGTTTTGAATATCTACGAATCAGTGTGAATTGATGAAAGCTGTGCAGCGCATTCACTCGACTTGCACAGGCTACATCATACTAACTGATTCCGAATGTTGACAGGAAACATAGCTTGGGGGTAGCAAACCTTGATCCGTCCGTGTAGCAGAGCGTTTGACCCAAACTGTACACTTCCTTCTCCATCATCCTCAATGACAGGAGCTGAGAAGATGTTTTATTGCAATTAAAAAAAAAAGGTATTGGAATTTATTGTACAGTTAAGTGGAACAGGGTTTAGTCGAAATTCAGGCTTACACCTTCTTTGTCGGAAATTTCTTTATAAGGAAAACCTGACAATTTCGGAGAACATTGACAGCGAATACCCATTGCTCGCTTCGTGACGGCCATCTAACGTCGAGGAGCGTTCGTGAGATTGCCTAAAAAAAAACTAAAAATCATTTCAGAGGCAAAAGAAAAACAGTCTGAACGTTTGCTTCATATCAAAAAGGAAGGCAGAAAGGAAATCAGCGGATACGTCTCATCCTGCACGAACAGGAACCGTAAACGGAAATCCCAAGATAGCGCAACATCCTTTCCCACAGAGGAACGCGAAAGGGATTTGAAGCAGGATCCAGTGAAAGTTGACTTGAGAATATCTCCCAACCCTTTGGAGCGAAAGTGATTAATTCATGTGCGTCCCAGGTCTTCTTTTTCATCTCGGAAGTACATATTCATCTTCGCCCTCGAGGATTTCCAAATCCATCAGTTCTTATTGTAAGTCTTACTCAAGATGGTTTCCCTCCTCAGGTTTCCATCGTCTGTGTCGTCTGAATACAAAGCGATAGTCGTTCAAAGTATGGGCATTCCAAGTCAACTCAACACAGTGAAAAACCTGACCCCCCCCCCCGATTTTCATTAAATTTTGCAAGCGTGTAGGGGCTGTTAAAAAAATATTACAGGCCAAATTGCTGCTCCCTAGATCAAATACTTTCTGAGGTGCAGCGATTTCAATATTCCAAAAAAAGACAAATTTTCTGTCAGGTCATCACTTAAGTGCTCACAACTTTTATTCTAGTCAACGTAGAGAGCTGAAAGTGGTTTCATTTTAAAGGTCCGTTTATGCCCTTTGAAAACGATTGTGAAACATGAAGTTTCCTTTGAAGCAAAGGTCAAAGGTCAAAGAGTCTGATCGTTGACCTTTAATTGCAAGGGGAAAATGTCATTTTTTTCTATAAAAAATTATTTTCATAATTTGATTATATACTCTATAGATATGCCAATTTTCAATTCGGGACTACCATGTAATCAGGAGTTATAAACAAGGTAGTAACTGCAAGAACTTGTACACGAAAGTTGCTATAGGCATTAGCTGTTAATTTTCGCATACGAGTACCAGATATTATTTCCCATGTACCGAATAGTGTAAATATGCACTGTAAATAATTTTTGAAATTGATGAATGACGATTTATGAATTATGAATTTATTCTCTGTCGTAAGAGTTTCCGACTCATTCCGATTCTATTTATTTTTCCATGAAGTTTTCGCCTACACACTTGGAGCATTTTTATCACCCAGTCCTTTGTTGCTGCATTTCCCTTGGCATTTCTTTGATGTTTTTCGGAGACGGTGTGACTTGCACATTGGGATCAATTCAATTATTCTTCCTGAAAAATATAACTCTACATATTGCATTTAGAAAATCGGAATACACCTACTTAGGCGAGTCGTTGGTGAGCACACGCTAATAATGTTCAGGTGATGTTGACTTGTTCACCCAAGGACAGATATCATGCCGTCACAACTCGTACGACTTGGGCAAGTCCTATCTAGTGATCTCGTATCCTATCTTTGGACGCCAACATACATTGGAATTGCATGTCATTCTTCTGATGGAATCAGCCTTATGTTGATTACATTCCGGCTTCTTACAAGTACGGTCAATATTGACTGCTCCGGGAATGTTAACATGTGCATGCAGAAATCGCAAAATGAAATGTTCATTGATATTGGTTGCCATAGTTCCAATGAATGATCTTTTCTGACGTGGTATTCTTCCGTTTCATAGGAATACTATTGCACTGACGTGGATGCACTTCCATCATCTGGGAAGACAGCACGTGTGGGAACCGACACAACAAACCAATTTTTGCTCTCCTAATATATCGAAACCAACGATGATACCATTGTTCACAATCCTTTTTGCTTCCATCCCCTCCTTGACATTTGGAATATTTGAATGCCCTATCCAATCCATACGGCCCTGCACGTGCAACAAAGATTCGATTGGCAATGTGACGGTTGATTGTTCGCATGCTTCCTATCATGAGGTTGTCTCAGCACTGCAGGTGACCTCTTGGCCTTCCAATGTGCCCTGGTGAGTCAGCGTTCTCTTTCTATTAATAAATATTTCTGGGTGGTTTCATGTCAATCCGCACGCTTTTTCTCCGACCTCCTCCAATTTCAATTAAATTTGGCACGCTGATTGTACCTAATGAAAAAATAAACAGCAAAAAATGTCAACTCTATACAATATGTATTCTGAGAATGACAGCCAATCAAACAATCGGCCATTTTTGGACATTTTAAGCCCAATGATCACAAAAATTATCATAACTCCATTAGTAATGAAGATAAAAACGTGAATATGGTATCGTTGGATAGGACATGAAATTCCTAATCAGGTGATTGTAACAACGGTAATAAAAGGAATGCCCTTTGTCTACATATTTTTTAAATGACCTTGAAATTTGACCCGACCAAGACCTAAATTCCCATACTCCATTTTCTTGAAATTCCAGGACCTTATCAGACATGTCTCTCTTTACGCACTCTGCGAATTTCATTATGGGTTTTTCACAATTAACAGAGATACGAACAATTTGATGCGTGACCTTCATAACATGTGCCGGTATCACAAATCACCAGAGCCATGAGCTTGTACCTGCGCTTCACTTATCAACAGCTTATCAACTTATCAGCAACTTATCAACAGCTGTTCTAATCGTTTCGAATTGGCGGTATATCAGTCAAAAGAGCTTTCACTATATCTTGGGCACTCAAAACTTTAACTTTCTTCCCATTTACTGCCGAGGAATGTATTTTGACTAGTGTTTGGGTCGGTCGGACGCAAGAAGAGCATGTACTTCTTGATTCCCTGCTACTGGTACTGCCGTTGAAAGGCTCTCGAATTTTATCTGCTCGAGTGAATAATTCGCCTCTCGAACAGAAGAAAAAGTTCATCGCAGCAATACTTTGCGTTACCCAGGTATACAACAGAAGAGGGGACGTTATCTGATCACTTGCATGCCACTGCAGACTTGCCTTTGTGGCAAGTCACTTCAATGTTCCATCTAATCCGTCACTTGAGCCCTTGCCGTGGGAACTTGCGAAAAAACGCCATTCCTCTGGCATTCCGAAGTCTTCATGGTGGCAAGCAAAGCTTGCAAATTGTTTTCCGGTTTTTATACTGCACGACCAAGCCGTCGGAAAATTGATACAACTTTCGTGGAATGAATTTCGTTTTTATATAATCCATGAGTAAATTTTATAAATTAGTGGACTGCCACTGTATCGGGATTCAGTGAATCTGAAATGACAAAGCTAAAATATTCTAAAGCACCCTCGTTCACGAAGTATGCCACTGACGGATTGATTGTGGCCTGGTCGTTAGTCCAGTGGTAACCCGGAATGGCGTCCTAAATCGCGAAAGATAAACTTTCAATGAAGTCACTCGTGGCCAGCACTTCTTTTTCATTCAATGATTCATTCAAGTTCTTGAGAGATGCCGATTCCTCCTTCGCAATGAAATCATGCCTGCGCAAGCGTGAGAACCTCTCCATCAGGATGTCACGAAAGAACACCGTTTCCTTCTGAAGGGTCTCTAACGCGCATCGGTCAGTTGCGACCCACTGGTTAAAATGGACAATGTCAATGCCTTCTTCATATAATTCCCGGATCATCTACTCTTTTAGCTGCCCAGTCCCGGGACATTGATCACATTCACCTAGGAAACATTCACCTCTGACAGGATTACACTCTATCGCGGCGAGAAAATATCGGTCATACCCCGCGCAAAGGGATGTGTTGTCCTTCAATTATTAGCTTTACGTTCTGATGACAAGTGCAGACACACACGGTATTGGTACCGCTTGCACATGCTAACAAGTCTCTGGGACATAATTTGGCACATTTTGAAAACCCTATGATGGTGAGGCACTAAAATACTCATCTCTTTTGATAATAAGAAACTCAGAATAAACATCGCGGTGCGCATAAAAGAAGATACATCTGATGAGGTCCTGGAATTTCAGAGGAATCGAACGTGGGAATTTAGGTCAAGCTCAGGTCAAATATCAAGGTCATTACAAAACATGAAGGTCAAGGTCATTGCTTTCATTACCATGTGTTACAAATCCTATGATGAGGACTTTCATACCCTATGCAACGATACGATATTGGCGTCAATATATTAATAAATAACGGAGTTATTATAAATGTGGTTTTCCCTGGGCCCAAAGAACCGAAAAACATGGATTCTTTAATTACTTTTCATTCCAGGAATGCATATTTTATGGAGCTGAAATTTGCAATACTTTATTTTCTCAACAGGTACTATCAGCGTGTCAAATTTAATTGAAATTGGAGGGTCAGGGAAAAAAGTGCGAAACATTCTACATCTTTCTTGTTCTTTAAATAGGCGGGAGTCTACTCCATAACAAAATCAAATGGTGCTTCCATATTATCTCTCCTTGCAGGCAACTTCCAAAATCCAAAAAATCCAAGTTATTTTTTCTGCAGTTGACGTCAGTCCCAGCCTTCAAGAGCGACAGCCTGGAAGAACTCAACCTCGAACATAATAAAATCACGAATGTGGAGTTCGACAAATGGGCAACTCCAAACTTGAGGATCCTCAAGCTTTGGAGCATTTCCTTGACATCAGTGCCAGCCTTCAAGAGCGACAGCCTAGAAGAACTAGACCTCTCTGGGAATAAAATCACGAATGTGGAGTTAGACAAATGGGCAACTCCCAAATTGAGGATCCTCAATCTCTCCTGGAATTCCTTGATGTCAGTCCCAGCCTTCAAGAGCGACAGCCTGGAAGAATTCTACCTCGATAAAAATAAAATCACGAATGTGGAGTTCGACAAATGGGCAACTCCCAAATTGAGGATCCTCAAGCTCGACGAGAATTCCTTGACGTCAGTACCAGCCTTCAAGAGCGACAGCCTGGAAGAACTCGACCTCGGTGGGAATAAAATCACGAATGTGGAGTTCGACAAATTGGCAACTCTCAAATTGAAGATCCTCAAGCTCTATAGCAATTCCTTGACGACAGTACCAGCCTTCAAGAGCGACAGCCTGGAAGAATTCTACGTCGATAAAAATAAAATCACGAATGTGGAGTTCGACAAATGGGCAACTCCCAAATTGAGGATCCTCAAGCTCGACGAGAATTCCTTGAGGTCAGTACCAGCCTTCAAGAGCGGCAGCCTGGAAGAATTCTACCTCGATAAAAATAAAATCACGAATGTGGAGTTCGACAAATGGGCAACTCCCAAATTGAGGATCCTCAGGCTCCACAGCAATTCCTTGACGTCAGTCCCACCCTTCAAGAGCGACAACCTGGAAGAACTCGACCTACGTATGAATAAAATCACGAATGTGGAGTTCGACAAATGGGCAACTCCCAAATTGAGGGAACTCAAGCTCTCGAACAATGAGCTGACCTCAATACCATCTTTCAAGTGCGACAGTGTGTATGTCGGATTTCCTGCTTCCAAGTCAACGGAAAACAACAGTGAGTATCGATTCATATATTTCTTTCTTATTCCAAATTTAACGTCAGTTTTTTAGTCATCTTTCTTGTGAAATCTCTTGTACCACGTTCCTGTGTACATCAGAGTGTAAAAATGTAAGGTTTTACTTTTGTAGTGTAAGACGTGTAGTGACCACCTCGGAACCCGATACTGATGCAGTTTTTGTGAAACTTTAGTTTTCCCTTTTTAGTGGACGGTACCTGACACTTTGAGTTGCTGATACTAATCTTAGAGCATCCTCACTTCCGTTTCAGATCTCCGCAATCATATTTTTTAGTAATTCGTGACGGGAGAAGGCTTCTTCGAATAATAATCGCAGCGGAAGAGTACCTAAATAATGCGCTATAATCGACTGCAAAATGAAAAATGGAAAAAAAATTTGAAATGTGAAATGAAAAATGATTGCCTTTGCAAAAAAATTGGTTACGACAACAAATGGATTAGGAATTTAGATGGCGATTAGAAGAAAAGAATCCAAAGTTTTCTTTACGATCTAAAGTTTAGATACTTTTATCGCCTGTAGTATTTCAGACGTTTTTCTCGGAACAGTAGTGTGGGTGAGGAAATGTGTGGTAATGGTATTAATGCCATGAAGCGCGTTTCCCATTTCCGGGCTTTAGAGTGACACTATGTTGTGTTGAGTTGATTCCTATCTCGGGATTTGTAATATCAATTTTTCTAATCATGGAGTCGGATTGAAAATGCTTACATTGGGAAACCATTTGACCTAAATGGTATTGCGATTCATCATTTGATAATTAAATCCACCGGCACGTCTGATTCTTCAGAGAACAAGTGTCCACAACAGGGTCGTTCCATCGTGTCTCCCGTTGTATTTTTAAAAACAACATTAAATGAAATTGCTCTTTGATTTCCCAGTTACTAATATAGGAAATCGAAAATAAGCAATAGGATAGTAGACTTTGACCTTTCCCTAATTATGTTAATTACTTTCTCTTACTGCTCATTTGAGAGGGAAAACATAGTCTGTGTCTCCGTGTGTCATGTTACATCCAGCATTATATCTCTCGAGGCCAATTTACTAAGAGAGAGAGCTGCTTTATTTGAAGAAAAATTTAATGAACTCTATTCTCCTATTCATGGCCTGCTGATGATATCATTGCGATGTTTCAAATTAAGGAGTATTGTCCACGTCAATTTCAGGTCTTTGGGCCCACACGAAATTGCACCTGCAACATAATAATATATCTAGGATTCACGGGCGGGTCCTTCACGTGTTTTCTCAGGGAAATGGTTTTCTCTACCTAGATGGTGAGTGCCAGGGTGGTCCAACTACTTCCTACTTCATTCTTCTTTTTGTTGAAACTTTCTCCTCTTTTTTCCAGACAATCCCATTCAGTGTGATTGTGGTTTATCCTGGTTGGCATTCTTTCCTGAATTGTTGAAAGAAGTAAGCGGGAAGTGCAAAAATGGGACAACATTGCAAGGCCTTGATCTGTCGGAAATGCTTAAAAAATGTCTCAGCGATGTAAGTTTATCTTCGGCGTATGCATGATATAACACCGTTTAAAAAATATCAAGTGCAGTAAAGCATTATAGGATCGGAAAAATGCAATTGCCATTTGTAGATGTGGGTGACCAAATGCGGATGTGGACCACCTCCTCCCATCATACACGGAAGCTTTCGCATTCTCTCATGCTCTAATGATGAACCGAGGTAGAAATACTCAACCATGCTCTAATATTTTCTATGAATGTGTGGTATTTCCCGCCCTCGTAATCTTCATAAAATTACACATTCCAGAGGTATCATATAATTATGAACATGCTCACATGATCACGATGAGAACTGAAATGTGTTTGCTTGCATTTCAGGATGAAACTTCTGTTGTGCTAGAAAAAAAAGTCATCTTATTGGGCCACGTTTCTTGTTGGAGATAATTGGAATAAACATCCGCTGCCGTTCAAGGCGCACCCAAAACTGCTTTTAATGTTGGAGTGTTGGAAGTGGCCACTGACCAAAGCACGTATTTCTTTTAGATCCAAAAGCAAAACAGAATGCATTCAAGGCGGAAAATACCTAATCGGAAGTAAAGTGAGCTTTATTTGCGACAAGTACTATACTATACGAGGACCACGAGTTCGTACATGTGGAGCGAATGAAGAATGGACTGGCCCTGACCCCCTCTGTGAACCTGGTTTGTTTTTCATCGAAAAATGGTTCCAGCGGTTGGTAGAACTTGCAAGATGACAGAATTGCAGGGTGGATTTTCCTGTGCTTTTAGTTTGTGGTCGAAGGGGAAACCTGGTTCCATCCGCTCAGCGATTGATTCGCGGAGGAAAGGAAGCAGCACCTGGGTCGTGGCCCTGGCAAGCTGCAATCTATCATGTGAATATTGGAGATATCATTTGTGGAGGAGCGTTGATTGGAATGCGTTGGGTTCTCACTGCAGCACATTGCGTCGTGGGCCACGACGTGGACAATTTCTTCGTCTATCTCGGCAAGCACTATAGAAATGTGTCCCAGGACGATGAATTCGTGCAAAAGATGAAGGTTTGACTCTAAATGCATTTCGTACTATTTCCAGGTGGAAATATGTACATTCTAGATTCCTGATGGTAGACTATTCTCCTTTGCTTTCAGGCGACTCAGATATTCGTGCATGACAAATACACTGGCTGGGAGTCGGACATCGCCTTGATGAAACTCCACGATTCGGCTAATCTAAATGAATGGGTTCAATTGATCTGTCTTCCGTTCAATGATGACATCTCTGATGACATTTTAGATGGGGTTGAAGATAGATTTTGCGGTCCTCATCCAGGAAAGGTAGGACGCCTTCACTCGGATGCCTAATTGTTTTCTGGTTGTCTCTTCATTTTTTATTATCGGCTTAAATTCAGGTGGCCGGCTGGGGAAGAGACGCCTCGGACCTAGTAACAGATGTCTTGACTGAGGTGCAACTGACAGTCATACCAAAGAGTGAATGCCGATATAAAATCTACGAAATCACAAAGAACCACCCTGCTTCCATCTCCAGAAGCACGTTTTGTGCAGGAGAACGCAACTATTCTTCCTCGATCGTGAATGACAATGCGAAAGGTATTATTTAAATCACACCAATCCTATCATTCCAATCGCGTGTGACTTCCAACCTCTTCATTTTTTTCATCCACGCCGTTTGGAATTGAATCCAAGAAAGAAGAGTGGAGTGCAGGATGGACATAATTTTCAAGTCACTCCTGCCAGTAATACAGGCTGCCCCAGATTATTTGACCATTTCCAAAATGTGTTTACTCGAATGGGAGAAGGATAAGTAGCATTCGTGTGACACGTAATTATTGGGCAAGAAGTCAACTTCGTCATGGAAATTAAGGGGCCATTGCGATGGCTTTGATTATGTCGCGGAGACGTGCGTGAATCGTCTTTCCACGGAAGGTTACTCACAGAAAATGACAATTTTGTACGTGTTCCTTGGAAAGTTGCCGCGTTCCCAAAAGATATGTCTTAAATATCATCATTCATGAGGTAAAGTGGCGAGAAACGAAGAAAGGCGTGAATTTAGGACAAAAAGCTTGACGCAATACCGGTACAAAATTAGAAGTTTCTGCTGAAAGTCACATGTTTTGCGGACTTGGTGAATTCATCCAGCAAAAAATGACTTCCATATCGACCGTCAGAGGCCAAGGGAACTATTAGAAGGGTCATTCCAGAGGATCTCAAAATGTAAGGATAACACAAGATCAACGTTCATGTCATCAGCAAAAACAAGAGGGAATATATATCAGTACCTGAAATGATGCAAGCGCCAACTGGCCGATGAAAGGTACAAGTAAATTGTGATGTTTGATTAAACATGGTTGTACCTTCCTGCCAGCAGAAAAATCCAGTCAATTTACTGCCAATTTAGTCGCCCAAATAGGGTTTTGATTTCTTTGCATTTGGATTCCTGAAGCGTGCCCTCGTGAATCGGCGCCGCAAAACTTTAGGGTGGACTTTAGGTTTTAGTGAGGAACAGGAGAAGTTATATATCCGAGTGCTCCGTAAAGCTCTGGTTCTATGGAAAGCAAGGGGCAGGGCTATTCTTCAGAATCAAGGACGCGAAATTGAGTATGATAGATCCTGAAAGAAGTAGTGGAAAGGTATCAGATTCAGAATAACAAATGGCCAAATAAAGCTAGGATATCCTCTGTGTATCATACATTTTATATTATTGCTACTAATATAAGCGACCAACACGCAAAAAATTTGTAGGATTATTGAGATTTACGAAATTCACAATATTTCCAAAGTACTTATTAGAATATATTATTCCCTCGTAGAATACAAGACGGTGTGTGGAGGAGATTCAGGGAGTCCCATAGTCTTCGCCTCTCATAGTCTTCTGAAAAGTCAGTGGGTGGTCGAAGGACTCGTCAGTCATATATATGCAAAGTCGGGGCAGAATTGCTCCAATTATGAACCTGGCCAGTACGGTGTATTCACGAAAGTCAACAAGTGAGAAATACCTTTATCCCATGCTCCTCCTTTATTAAGCTGTCTCAAAAATACCATGGAAATGAAAAAGTTAAAAGAAAACGCGTATATGACAAGATGCATGATGTTACTATTTGTTACAAGTTTTACGCAGATAACCACAGGTTAAGAGTTTCTACATAACTTTCCTTGAACATGTCAGATAATATACTGTATATTTATTTGCTTAGCGTCTTAATGTGGTTTCTAAGTATAGGCAAATATAATAATAAATGTAACTCAGGGTAAAATAATGATGTATTTTTTTCATTGTTTCCTATGCGTCTAACTTATTTCCTTTTTATTCATATTTAAATCCAGCGATGGACATTTTCCTCTTTATTTATTTGTCTCCACAGTGAATGAAAAATGCAAAAGTACACTAGCAAATTTGCGTGCTTAAAGTAACCTGTAAACAATTCTGGCATTAATCAATTCTTCAAAAACAAATCTGAATTTGAATTCTGTTTTAACCGTGTTTGATGATTGCTGATCCTCTTGCTCTTCCTTCCCGTCAGGTTTGTTGACTGGATCGAGGAGACCATGTCGATGAACTCATGAACGCATGAGTGACGGTCCATCCCTCCGAATCTTCGCTCTTACACTTGCAACACATTTTTTTACCCTATATTATAATTCGGACGGCAAAACTGATAAAAAAAGTGGGGCTTTCGTGTTTTCTTTGTTACTATCTACTTCTAGTTTCCATTCGTTACTTGTTTCACCATCCCAATTTTACCGCTACCGTTTCATTTACTTTCCTTAACCTGTGATACCTCAGATTTATAGCTCCAAACTTTTTATTTGTGCCTTACATGCATATTTACAGGTTTCTTTTAAAAGTTGCACGATACATTTAGGACAAAACTAACGCTTCGACATCAAATTTGGCCACAATTTTTGGGGGATTTTTCATATTTTCGAATATTCGAACTGGTGAAAAAATGCTCTCGGCTGAGGAGTGTGCCTGTCCATTATCCCAATATGAGAATTGCCAATAAAGTAGACTCATGGAATGCGACCAATAAACAAATCAGAGGCTGCAAAAGTGCCAAAAATACGCACCTAAAAATCCATGTCATTGCCGTCATCTGCAATCGATCGGGGATTTCGAACATGCGCGCAAATTCCCGGAGCCAGGTTTTCGGCGAATTGTCCAAAATCTCAAGTTCGGTTTCAGGAAATTTACCCCACCTGCTTCGGGACTTGCATGTTACAGGATATTATCCTCATAATAACGCATTATTTGTCATTCCTTGAAATCCGTGCAAAACCAAATGCAGATGGTACCTACGTTTTCTATTTGCAGAAATCAGCCGAAAGTTAAGAAATACATGTATTATTATTATTGGACATTTCAAATGAAACATTTTAATTCGAGACTGCATTGGCATGACAACAAATGAGAAAAATGATGTCATGGACGAAGAGGAGGATGAGGCGACTTGGAGTACGTCTTTTCACTTTTGGAATCCTGGTTCTTTGGTCATCGTGTGCTTTTTTACCCCAGTCCTATTTCATCTATTTCATCATCTATTTCATCCATGCATTCCAGGCAATACTGAAGACGTCTCTCTACGCTCCATGGGGCTCCTTTCGCATTATGTAGAGGAATTCTCCGCATCCATGCCACGCAGACTTGTGAAAATGAAAAGCAAAAGAAACCATCGTAAGTCACAGGATCCCTTTAGAAACGGAAAGAGGGCACGATTCATGTTAGGGAACTGGAACTTCTAGCAAAAATTAAACAGGGGAGAGGAAGGATAGGGCGGGATCCTTAGGTACAGATTTTCCGTGAATTCATATCTAAGAGAAAAAGGTTCCAAAGACTGGCCTAATCGCAATAATCAAGAATCAGGGAATAATCATCTAGCCTCGCTCAGCACCCTCTTTCACTTCCCGGTTTTTACCCCGTTCGTATCTTTGTAGGGGAGAAGTGTCAGAAAAGAGAAGTTTTTCATCGCCTTCCCTCCTATTCCTCGCCCTCCCCCTCCACCCCTCCCCAGAGAAGGAAATACCATTTTTGTCTAGCGGTCTAGTTTTTTAGGTTTTTTTTTAGCTTCTATTAAAAAAAGAAAGGAAAGTCCAAGGTCCTTCGCGCCTTTCCCTGGAATTCATTACCAAGATCTTCCTGGCTCTTTTTCCTCGAGTACAAGACCGAAAGTAATCCCCTAGCGCGAATTGAGAAATCCTGTTTGTTTTCAATGAGTCTTCCTTGGGACCACTGTTCTTCCATAATCAGAGTCACGACCACATTGCCTAGTCTCATCAGTGCAGAAATGCTTTCATGTTCATTTATCAGCGCACCAATTTTACATTCTAGCTTTATAAAAAGCTTGTAAGCCAAAAAGCTTGTTAATCTGGACTTCAGAGGTCTTGCATCAGTGACGCATCCAAGGGGAGGTGTGCAGGATCTCCCCCACTTCATCGAAACAAGTTTTGCAATCCCTTTTACAATGCTTTAAAGAGTACACATTTTTGTTGTTGTAGGTCTGTGAATTGGATGTCCAGGTGTTGCTTCGCCGAAAATTGAAAATAAGAGGACGGAGGGTGGTATTTTGTGATTGTTGGGGAGAAAATACGAGAGTATCCCCTTCATGACTAAATTCTGTTTCCACCACAGACTGCCGTGTCCACAGACTGCCGTGAATCGTGTTCTCTTCATGTTTCTAAGGGATCCTTTGACTTACGATGGTTTCTTTCGTTTTCCATGTTCACAGTTCTGGATGGCATGAATGTGGAGAATTCCTCCGTATAATGTGAAAGGAGCCCCAGGGAGCGTGGAGAGGCGTCTTCAGTATTGTCTGGAATGCGTGGATGAAATAGAAGACGTCGAGGACTGGCGTAAAAAGGCACACGATGACCGAAGGATGTTAGAACCAGGATCCCAAAAGTAAAAAAAAACTCCAAGTCACCTCATCCTCCTCTCCGTCCATGACGTCATTTTTCTAATTTGCTGCCATGCCAATGCAGTCTCGAATAAAAAATGTTCATTTGAAATGTCCAACATATTTCTAAACTTTGGGCTGATTTCTGCAAATAGAAAACGTAGGTTCCATCTGCTTTTGGTTTTGCACAGATATCAGGGAATGACAAATGATGCATTACTAGTCGAAGCCCGGATCCTCCGGGTCTAGCCTGTATACGCAGGTTACCGCAGACACAAAATATCCCGTACACACATCTTACCCTGTACACACGGGCTACCCTGCCCACGATCTACCCTGTACACTGATGATTGATGAAACAGAGATTCCCACCCATGGGGATCGCATACGCAGATAGAATACTTTAGAGCACTTCTTTGTACATGAGATTTTGCGTGAACATTTTTTTGGATCTGGACATGAGTTGACCCTCGTTGTCCGTAGGAAGAATTTTGACTTTGGCATCGGTCTTAGAGCGAGCTCTTAAAAACGCAACGTAAAGTTAGCCGTGTGTGAACACAGGTCTGACCAGATGAATCCAAACGTTGGCAAAAGTATGACCTTGCAATTTATTGATGGTCATGGCAAATGCCAAACGGAACGGAAATTGCCTTCGCCGTAAGGTGAAAGGCATATCTGAATCGGAAGGAGCGAGCTCGATTCGGGGTAGAAACACACACTGTCCTCGAGCTGAGACCGTAAGGACTTCAGCATATATCACATTCGGTTTTAGCGCAGTGACTATGAGTCGAGTGCCATTGCAAAGACCCCGTCTTGTGGTTAGGTTTCTCAACAACATAACAATTGCCCCCACTTTAAGTTTGAGCTTATGGGGAGGCATTCCCGATGGAAGTAGAGAATTGAGATACTCTACAGGAAAGTTAACTCTTTCCTGTCCGTCGTCGCAATCGATTGTGTCCAGACTGACATACTCATACGTCTGACCCTCTAAACGACCTAATACTCCCTGCTGAAAAAACCTCACTACAAACTCATGAGGTCTCATGGGACCTCACGGCTTTCTAATGAGGTTGTCCAAATATCTCATGAGGAAATCCTCATGATGTAATCCTCATGAGGAAATTCACGAGGTCCCACGACCTTCTCATGAGAATTGTGCGGTTCCTCATGAGGCTTCGAAACGTCCTCATGAGACCTCTTGTTCGAAAACCTCATGAGGATCTCATGAGGTTCCTTCTGCAGTGCACAACCGACGCGAGATGGCGACTGTATAGCCGCTCTGATGGGATGAATGCCCTGATCTCACTGGAACATCTCTCCTGTACTCACCAAGTTGTATGCATTTTTATTTCTACATTGAACATAATCAAAGATATTTGATTTTCAAAAAACACTTGTCCGAAGAGATAGCCCAGTTTAGAGAGACTTGAGGCAATTCTGACCTACAAGATGGAATGACGTATTGAGGGTGGAATAAATGACAGTTGTTTAACCACATATATTTTTTCGTATGAATACTTCTCTTTTAAGAACTCGCCGGACCTTCCAGGCTGAGTCCCAAGAGACTTTTCGTGGCTATTGGGCCACGAGGCATGTGGCGCCTCTATGCGAAAATCCCATGAAGTCAACCTCATGAGACCTCTGTCCGAAAACCTCATGAGAATCTCATGAGGTTTCCTTGTGAGATTCTCACAAGGTTTTTTCAGCAGGGCTTCGTCGCTTATGCTAATGATGTCTTCATTTTTGGGGCATAGAATGGCCCTGTCGGCATATCAGCGTACATTATCAATGGTGATTTCTTTACCAAAGATGTATTCCACCAAGGATCACTGACGCACGTGTTGAAGCGGAATCTCGATGACATCTTCACCGAATTTGTCTACGGTGTGCAGCGCGCCATCGCCGAGGTGAATAAGCCAATCGGCGAATTCATTCTCCTCCGGGAGGATCCGCATGTTGGTGGAAAGTTTCAGTTTGGATATATCTGACCACAATGAACTGTATTGGACAATCGCCACTCTGTGACCATGCCGCAAAACTGGCAAGGTTTGGCGGAAGTCACCACCAAGAAGGACGTTGCCGCCAAAGAGACGATTGTTCCCCAGCAATTCTTTTAAGCAGTCGATCGACCGCATCGAGTGCATGCGCGGTTGTCGTGGAAGCCTCGTCCCAGATGATGAGCTTGGCGCTCCGGAGGAATTGGGCCTCAGCTGAACATCCTCTCATACTTGAACTTGAAGTTTCAAACAAAGGAACCGGATGTTTGAAACCGGAGTGGTAGGTTCGTCCACCTTTCAAAAGGTCAGCTGCAATGCCAGTGGATGCTAGGGAAACAAATCGTGTCCACGGACTCGTAAAACAGATATTAATGATTTGTATAAAAATTTCTTCCCGCTTCCACCTGAATCATCCAAGTAGAAGACCTTTTTGGAAGACCTTTCGACTTCGATCGCTGCCATGATGCTAACATTAGCTTGGCGTTGCAGAGGATTCAGCAGGGAGAGGAGCCGCTGCCCCTCTTCCTTTTCGATTTCCTGATGGAAAATTCCGGATGGTGGAGGCAGATTTGGAAATGGAGGTGACAGTCCATGTTCGTCGCATGATTAACCGTGGAGAGTTAATGTGTTTTAGATGTCTTGCAGCGCCAGATTTGTGGCCATTTCAAGGCTGTAG